ACTCTCCACTTTGTGTCACAATCTTACAAATGCTTGAAATAGTCTATTAAAAAAGCATGCGAGTAGTAAGCATCTAAGGTGCACTTATCATTTTTGGAGAGGAAAGTGGTGGAGAAATGTGGTTCTGTTTTGTCCCCAATGACTCCAACAAAGAAAAGTTTATAGTGAGCAGAAATTTAGGCATGAGTATTCAAAAAAAAAGGTTCAATGATATTGTGTCATCTTCAAAAGGTATGAATTATGCAAGATGTACAACTTGTGTGTGATTTCTATATTGCTCACGGAGATGAAAATGAGATAAAAAAATCTTGAAATTACAAAACACCAGTACCTTAAAACAAGGCTGATAAAGAAGATGGATATGGTACAAAACTATGTTTCTCCCAAGAATTTACAGATGATTTCCTAAAGAAAGTTAATAGTGCTACTTACAGGGCTCTTAATCAGTAGTACACTGTAATTAAGTATTAAATAAAATGTAATTAGTAGCAACATCATTTCCATTTACATATTTTGCTATTTTTCGCTTGTCCCCATAGGGATTACTATTTTTCAAAATTTTTTGTTGGCAGGTCTGCAGATCAAATAGGTTACATTTAACATTGTTTAGATAAATGCCTTGATTATCAGGATAATCATCTTTATTTTATCATTCAACTTATACTTGAAGCCTGCATATCTAATTCCTTCCTGTTGTAATATATTCAAGTTGCTATTATTCTATAAAGAAGTGAGGTTTGCATTACAGGATATTGCAATTAACTCTTGACACTAAAATATTCAACACGAAAGATAATAAAAAAATTAAACAAAAAACCTGGTACTAAATTGTCATTGAACCAAATTTATGGATAATTTCTACCTTCTAATTTTATTTTCTCTAATATCAATGTTAATCTATAAAAGTTCATTTTTCAGTCATTACACTATATATCATTAGACATTTACTCAGTTAGCCAGATCTAAGAATCATCATCTAAACCAAAAAGCTGTTTTCAGGTGTCACTGAAGAGACAGTACAACAACCAGTATTGTACTAGCAGGCATCTCATGTCAGGAAATGATTGGTATGAAACACAAGCTTTTCGTGCCCTGAACCAAGCTCTGGGTCGATGTATCAGACATAGGTGAGTTGGGTATTATGGTTGGTTAATATGAGCAAAATAGCATTGATTTTTATTAATCTCACAGTAAATTAAAAGTATAAACAAGTAATAATATGTTGAACAGTACAGTCATTTGACGTATTTACTAAGTTAGGTACTAACAAGCATATTCTGTTGATCATGCTGATACCTAATTTAATTACTATAATTTGGAAATAAAGAACAGTTTTTTAAGATGTACAGCCACCTGAAATAGTTACTGAGTTAGGTATTAACAAAAATATTCTGTTAACTGACACCTGATTTAATTACAACAATATATGCTTATAAAGAACAATTTGTTGAAGAGTACAGAAACTATTATGGTTTAGAAACAACAAATACTGCATTTTAGTTACTGCTTTTAGTAAGTAGTATTTTAATGCTTTTTTGTTGTTTTTTTCAGAACTGATTGGGGAGCTCTCATTGTTGTGGATGAACGTTTCCAGAAAAACCATAAGTATATTTTAGGTATGTACTAGGTTGTTTTGAAGGGTAAAAAACCATTAATATGATTTACTTCAGATCCAAGGTCACATTCTAAGTCATGTCTTGTACTGTGTAGTTAATAAGCAATTAACTCTCAACATGGGCTCAGTCAACTTGACTGATCATGTGATCTCTTTGTACTCGTTCAAAGTCTATATAGATTTGATACTACTAACTGTTGATACAGTGGCAGTTTTTCAGTAAGCATTCTAAGTCTTTCACATGCAAAAAATCATATTTTATTGAAGTATTTTTAATATACTCAAAATAGATTTATCCTTGAATATATCAATTATTTGTGTTGAATAGTCCGAGTGCAAAGTGATTTTCATCTTAAGATTAAAAACAATTTTCTTCATCAAATTTCCTTTGTGTAATCCCTAAAACTTTCTAAATAGATTTCAAACGTTTTTTTTAGTAAAACTTTATAGTTTATCTGTTATTTTCTCTACCCTGTCTCAAAATGGGATCGGTTAATTCGGCCGACCTCTTAACCACCAAAAAAATATCAAAGTAAACCTAAATTACTCTTTTTTTCTTTCTAGAATGACTTCAAATTGTAACATGAAACTACATTCGTTTATCCCTAGTAGCTTTAAACTTTAACAATATACATCTATTTAGAATTAAATTTTATTGTGTTATTGCCCTTTGAACCATGTCTAACTACTGTTTGCTCCAATACAAGTTGTAAATCACTTGGGTAACATGCAGCTCATGTTACACTTTCAAATTACATTACCCACGAGCTACTCCAAGCTGCTTGCATTCGTGCCTCGTTCAATATTTTTATTATTATTATTGTTTATTTTACCTAATCTAACCTTAACTAACCTAAAGATATCCCTATTTTTACACTTTAGTTACTTTTATAATAATGAATATTGAATAAACATGAAAAACATTAAATAAAGTACTTACACAAATATTAATTTTTTTGCTGTCAACTATAGATGACACTTAACCCTACTTTTTTATACTAATGGTAGTTGTGCATTAAATAATTTTTATTTAATTAAATAATGTACCAAAAAATATAGACTAATAACATGCAAAAAGCAGACAATTTCCTCTAACAATCACAATTTTTCTGGCTTTCTAACTATACAACAAGAGCCATTACAAATACATCCAAGCTAGTCATTAGCTTTCCCAAGGGAACAGAACTTGTACTCTGAGTGAAATTAATGATTATCTGTTCAGAAAACAACATTATACAATACGTTATTTGATAGATAAAAACCTTGGCTTTCTATTGGTTATAGATAATATATGATGAAACGTAAGAGAGAACCATCAACAAATTGTGAAAGAAAGGATGTGGCAGGAGGGGTCTGATTTTCTATTTGATAGCTCTGTAACCAAACAAATTTGAAGGCTATAAAAATTATAGTTTGTTTGAGCAATAACAATTTTATAGAGTATTTTTACGTTTAATTTCGTACTTTTTTGTATTAATATGGTTTACATCAGGATC